ACTCTTTAAATTCCCACCAATCACCAGTAAAAAACCATCTCTTTCTGGAGGCTTTCTTGTACGATCTGAGCGTCTAGGCTTTTGCAAGTCCTCAGCATCTTGACTTTCAGCATTTCGATTATTTTTATTATCTGTTTCAAGGTCTGCAACTCTTTCATCATCCTCAGTTTCTAGTTGTTCTCCATTAGATTTGAAAACTGGTTTAACAGGAGAATCTATCTTCTTTGTTTCCGCTGTTTGATGTTGAATACGACCTCCAAACTCATTTTCAACAAACACAACGTCTTTAGATTCATAATGTTTCTTTGTTCTTGGATCAAATAGATGATAAGTCTTTCTGTAGAGCCTGTACCCAACAAAGATGCACTTTCTAGATCTTGAATCAAATTTATTTGTGAGCTCCTCTGGAATGTGCATGTAAGCATCACATCCAAATACTTTGAATTGTGCAACATCAGGTTTTCTTCCATAGAAACTTTCATATGGAGTCATGTCCTTCACTGCTTTAGTCGGACTACGATTCCTCAAAATGACTGCTGTTGCTCCCCAAAAAATCATTTGGTAATTTAGCAGCATGCAGCACTGATTTATCATCGATAAAAGTAACAAAATATCGATGTCCACGCAGACTGGTTGTTTGCATGGTCCACATACATCACTGTGCACAATCTCTAGTAGCTCAGTGGCATGTGAAGCTTTACTTTCATTTCCCTTCAACTTTGACCTTAACCTAAACTGACCCTGTACCTTGTGCCAAAACAACTCTGTTAACACCCAAATTTACTTTCCCTTGTGCAGCAAATTCACAAATATTCACCATCCTTTCATTACACAATGACATGTGCTGAGATGCACCGAAGTCAATAATCCAGGTATTAGCTTCTTTATTGTCTGTACTGGCTGCGGCCCAAAACAGAGCATGCGTAGCTTCCATTTCTGTAACATTAGCTTGCTGTCTCTGTCTTTCGCTTGACTTTTCAGGTTTCTTACAGTCTCTTGCCCAGTGTCCTTTTAAACCGCAGTTGTAGCATTTCCCTTTCTTGTTGGTGGATTTCATTTGGTGTCCAGCGACTTTAGACATCTCCTTCGTGGTAACAAGTGCCTTTTCAATCGCAATTCCAAGGTCAGATGAAACTTCATATCGTTTTCCCAAAAGTTTCTGATCAAAGATAAACTTTTTCTTTTGATGTTCCATTCATTCTGTTTTGTTATCGTTTATGCCTTTCCATCATGGCATAAACAGTTCTGATCGATCGTAGTAAAGAGCTATTTCGAAGCTTTTGCTAACAACCTTCATTAAACCCCCAAAAATCACAAAATGCCTCATCCCCACTTCAATGTTTTGTCAACTCTCAATAAATAAAATGAAAACTTTGAGAAGGCATACTTTTTCCAAGAGAGGCTCGTGGACCGCCATTTTGGGTGTTTAAAGCGCGGAGCCTATGTTATCTGCCAAACGTGATGTAAACCTCCTACTAATTTTATATAATAACTTTCTTACTGAAAATTATCATAGCAAATTTATTATAATACAACATAACTATGGCAACAACAATAAAAATACTTGAGAATGGCTTTGAAAAAAGCAAACATTTCATAACATACTACAGAAAGCTTTTTCGTCTGACACTCATCACAGTGAAAAACGTCAGAACAAGGGTCCGAAAGAACACGATGTAAAATTTATACCCAGATGTGGATCGAAGTAAGCCAATCAGAGAAACTCAAAAAACCTGTCCTAGTCTAATCAGTGCTGCGTGTCTGTAGAAATATTAGCACCGGAGTCCAAGAGAAAAAGCGAACTCCTTCTGTCTGCATATTGGTGGCTTTTTCGTTTGAATGTAGATCGATTCCAAAACAGCTAGATAAAAAGATGACCGGGCTCTGCCAACTATTTGAAACATGTCGCCATTATAGAGTTTTGCACAGTCTGGGTTGTCTAAAAGGTGTTTTCCGATAGCAGATTAATTCGTTTACTACTAATGATAAAAATACTGTCTAATTTCTTGTTTCTTTTTTAAAATTTAGATTTTTGTGCCAGAAAAGGCTCATTTTTCTCATTTCAAATTATAATTGAAAACTTTAGCCATGATAATGGTTTGTTGATTGGAGACCTTGTCTCCTATGAAATACCAACATTACAGAAAAGTTCAACATTATTTATTGATGCAATGTGTTACTAAGAAGTAACCGTGAAAATTGGTAGTGTCTAAATTGAAAACTAGATAGTTCTAAGGCAGAGTTGAAATTGCTTAAAGCTTTTTATCAACTATCAAACAGGATTCACAGATTTGAATATCTAAAAAAGTAGCATTTACAAGCTGAAGAGGAAAAACCGTGTCCTCGTTGTTCACATATAAATTAATACAAATTGGAGTACACATGCCAATGTAAGTACAGTAGAGGCTGATCTACTTAACTTTGATATGAAGGAAAGGCACTAAAAAGTTTAACATCGATGTTATATATAAGCAAAAGTAACCAATCTGTTGAGAAGTAATAGAAGCTGTGATAGAAGTGTTTAGAAAAATAGCATTGTTAATTCTAGGAGCGTGACGCTGCTTGAAAGACTGTTTATCATCCGTACTTTGTGGAGAGAAGATCTACAATTATTGATAATACTGGGGCCCATCCCATAATTTTCTTTGAATTTCAGAATTGGGCCACTGTGTCTGAGAACATACGTAGTTTCTGGTTTGCTGTTTGGTGAAGCAAGGGCAGATTTTGTAACAATAGGTTCTTTGGTTTGTTTACATTTTGTTGACTAGCCAATCAGAGAGCTCTATTTCTATGGCGTCATCTGATGGTAATGGCGGATGGAGGGGTTTGCTGTGGAGAAAACCACACCCTCGTTTTTTCCTCGCGACGAAAATATACTTTGAGAAAAACTCGAGATTTTTTGCACCCGTATAGAACGATAAATTTTACATGTAATTTTATTGGCACTAAGCTCTGCGTTGTTTGCTCTTTGCGTGATCGTTCGCTATTGACATCCCTTTTTGCACGCCCTCAATGGCTCTATGACCCTCCGACGACTCGGCCCTAAACCCAACAAATCACGCTCCTCTACCAAAAACAACAGTGGACTTCAATTGCACTGCTAGCAGATGCAAGGAATATTTCAAAAAGGGTCTTACAGTGTTCTTTAAATCATTTTTTAACCTAAAATAGCTATTAAGGTGGATATGTATATATAGCGCTAGCCCTTCGGGGGAGGGGTCTAGCCATAATTTCGGCGGGACGGAGAGTGAAAAGCGAATAAAAAACAGTAACTGAACAAACTCGCAATCAACATGGTATACGAAGATGGCAGATAAGACACAATGTCCCACCGCTGTTCGATGTTCATTTAAAATTCCCATTGGTTGGACTATACACTGCACTCCCCACTCGAATGTATCCGGAAAGTTTTGAATATTGCCAGGAATCTGTTTTTAAGTATTTTTTAAATAATTTCAAAGACAATTCTTTTAATAACCTTTCCATGAATTTCCTCGAATTTTTCCTGTGTTTCTTTGGCGTTGAACTATTTATTCGTCAAAAAATTCATCTTATTATAGATGTGTAAGCAAACTTTTTGAGGGTCTTTCCTCAAGATGGTAGCATCGGAAACAAGTGAGTTGACACATTAGCAGTGTCTAGAAATAATGTTATATCACAATGATCGAAGAAAAGCTATTATTTAATTGTTCGTATAATTGAATGCAAAAAACTGCTGATTTAGAAAATTGCAAAATAATTTGAAAGCAAGAAGCATAAAATTTTGGTCACGTTCAAAAAGAACAAGAACTCTCGCGAGACAAATGGTCGAACGTTCTGCCCTTACCAGTTTGCATCGAAACTGGTTTGCTTCATCGCACAAAATTGAACAAAATGTTTACAGAAAATTGTAAATTGAAGTTGAAAATCATAACTTTTAAAATCTGTCCATAAATATTGCAAGGAGCCAAGTAAACAATTACAAATGTACACTCGTACTTATCGATTTCAGCAAGACTTGCAGCGGTAAAGAAAGCAGCTTTTGCACTGAATAAAATGCCTGCTTTTCAAGAACGTTTATGGTCTGGTAAAATGTTACTAAATGTTATACATGATTTGTAATTGATTGTTGGCATCTCCATGCAAATAATCTTCCCAACTGAAAGTAAACACGTTGTTTTTCAAAAGTTTTTGTGTCTTGAGAACGAGTTTATAAAAAATTATAATGTTTCATTGGCCAATTTGTAATTGAGTTCTAACCACCTGACTTTTCTGCTCTGCGTTGATTTGAGATTGGTTTATTTGCGTAAAGATTGTACTGCAAAGGTTTCATATTTCAACAAAAGCTAATAACAGAAAACAATGAAGAAGGTTGGCAATATTTTAACGTCTTGGTTCATCTTGGAATGGTTTCTCAAAAACATTATCGTTTCTTATAAACTATCTGGTGGACCCTCATGTATTTTTGAAAAGTCCTTTTGCCAATCTAAATTTGTTCTATAACTTGACAAAGGCCGATGCTCAAAATTTCGTTTTTAACACTTTCATTTTCCTAGTACAATTTACCTTATTTTCCAGTTATATTGTCAAATAATATTGTACAGATGCAAACTATAACGTTTTTTGAATTTGTTTCTGTGCGGAAGTGCAATCGATCGTCGAGCAATTGAGGACGTGCAAAAAGGGATGTCAATAGCGAGCGATCACGCAAAGAGCAGAAAACGCAGAGCTTAGTGCCAATAAAATTACATGTAAAATTTATCGTTCTATGCGGATGCAAAAAATCTCGAGTTTTTCTCAAAGTATATTTTCGTCGCGAGGAAAAAACGAGGGTGTGGTTTTCTCCACAGCAAACCCCTCCATCCGCCATTACCATCAGATGACGCCATGGAAATAGAGCTCTCTGATTGGCTAGTCAACAAAATGTAAACAAACCAAAGAACCTATTGTTACAAAATCTGCCCTTGCTGTTTGGTGACTATCAAATCCATTATCTCGTTGCCATGAAAAACTTTGCGATAAAGAGGCTACTCTCCTTATGATTCATAATTCATATCATCTGTCGCTCCAGAATTGATGCCAAAGTGAATTGAAACGAGCTGTGTTTGAATTATCGCCGGTGTCACAATTCTTACATGCTCGGTTATTATTAACAGGTCTATTGAGCTATTTTACAGTGATCAAATCAAGTTTTAAAATTTTTATGGGACAGAGGGGAAACGCATCGGTAGCCATCTTGAGTTGGTCAAGTTAGGCCGCACAGACAGGCCTGCTGGCAAAATGTAATTCAGAAAATGTATGAGACAGTCGGGACGATCTCATTAACAAGTGGCACAACAGGCTGGTTGGGCAAATGATGAAGAGGTCGGTTTTCAAGCTTAGAATGCCAGCTAAGGATTGGGTCTGGGGGCCTAGCCCTCATTGGAAAATATACTCCTCTGCCAAGAAGTCATTACAATCGAAAAATGTTTCAGTGATGAGAGGTGTTACTAAACTTGCCGGAGACTATCAAGAAAGTATCATAGAGGCATACAAGAATATGCTAATCAAAGCAAGAAAAGCGATGAAACCAAAATTCTCTACTCTTCATAGACATGGAACATTTGGAACAAGTACAAATTTCTTGTGGATTAACAGCAAGAAGAAAGGCGAAAGTTTCAAATCACGAAGAAACTTTATGAGTGAAAGGCTAGAGGTGTTGTTATCTTCTGAGGAAATAGATAAGACTCTACGATTCAAGGAAGAGACTGCATTTTTTAATACCCAATTAACAGCACGAATTGACTTCAATGAGTTGTCATCTAATAGGCCCATGGAAGACCAGAAGTTTGCTTTCAGAAGTGTTAATGATAATGGTATAATTGTAGGCCTTTTAGATGGGCATGGAGGCAACTCATTTGCCGAGAAAGTAAAAAAATATCTACCTTTGTATGTTAGTGCAGCACTTGTGGATAGTCAATTTGAAGCTATTGATAGCTTTTGTAGCAGTAGCTTGGTGGAGCCAATTATCACTGGGCCTAATGTTGAAGAAGACAGCTTTATTACCAATTACCTTCTCAATTATATAAAAGAAGTTGCGGAGAAAACCCCAGTTCAGAATGACCCAGGAACATTTTCCATGTATGTACGTCAGTTGCTTGGACCTACAATGCTGTTAAGCAGTGAAGAGATGCTTGAGAAGAAAGACATATCTGACTGCCTCAAGGAGGCATTTGTTAGGCTAGACCTTGATATGGTTAATAACATTTTAGAATCATCAAAGTCAGGTAACTTAAAGCAAAATGATCTAGGGATGACTTCATCAGGCTGTTGTGCTTTGGTGACATATTTAAATGGATCAGATTTGCATGTGGCAAATAGTGGTGATTGCAGAGCAGTAATGGGAAGTCTTCATGATGGAATGTGGAGTGCAATACAGCTTACACTTGATCACACTGCCAGTAAGTTCTCATATTCATTTTTTCAATTAAGTTGATTTTGCTTTCAACACTGTACCAGTCTGTATCTTGTAAGCACTGAAAGTATCATTAAGTAAAATATATCCGTACAAAATGAAGGCTGTGTATCTGTAAAATATTCTATCTGGAAAATTTACATGGTTTATGTTTAGGTTTAATTTGTTAGCTTTGAACTTCTTGGATGCAGGGTACCAAATGGGCAGCAACAGACACTTTGTATTTTCTTAGCCACTCTATTATTATTTTAATGACTTTAGCCTTTTTGAGGGTGAGTCACAAAACAAGCCAGTTAATTGAAGGCAGCGAGTCGGCTGCACAGATGCCTTCAATTGAAATCAACTGCGTTTTTTTGCTCTTCTGTGGTTGTAAGAATATATACAGCCTTTACCCAGGGGGTAACTTCAAAAGGCAGAGGACAGGGTGTGCCATTTTAAGATATGAAAACATACCCTAAAATTTATAAATGTTCCAAAAACCCTACCCCAAAATTTAGATATCATATGAAATGTATGCCCTTAAATTGAAATTCAAATTTTCAAAAATTCAACAACTCAGTCAAGTAAATGAAGACATATTACCTTTCTTATAAAAATGACACTCCAAAATTTAAGGTCATGCTAAAAATCAACCCCAAAATTTGTGACCATTAAGAAGAAAAATTATTGTGAAAAAAATAACATTCCCAGTGTTTAAATTCTTAAAGTTGTATTTCAACCATTATAGAGCTAGAGATAACAACAGATCTGTTATATACTGATTATTAGTGGAATGGACTTGCATTCAGTTTCGTTCTCAAAAATGTTAAAACTCAACTCACTAAAGCCCAGCCAATGTCTTTAGAAAGAAGTTTATATTGGAGGTGGGCTGCGAGTCCAAAAGAAATAGAACAAAGTTTGGCAATTATTGAAGGCTACAGCCTAACCCCCCCCCCCCCCCCCCCCCC